CTGAAAAACAATTTTGGTTTGATTTTCTTCAATGTATTGCGCCATCGTATTTGTCTTCTAAATATAGTCAGCTAAATGATTCCGAGTCTTTGAAAGTTATGTTCTTTTTATAGCCAACAAGATATAAAGAAATGAATGTGTGTTGAGTATGCTAATCAATTTCCTGACGGGATGGCGTATTCCTCGAGTCAGATTGCTTTTATATTGATACCAACATTAGGAAAGAGAAGTATATGTAAAATATTCTTCGTTGTCATGTATAACCCATATTCAATTTGATCTACGACGAATATCACACGAGGAAACTTGAAACATAAAAACTCCGACAATTGGTGATAGTGACATAAGATGCCAGAATATTAATCTTATCTTAATCAAAAAGAAAATGGGAGAGTTGGGAAATGGATATATTCGAAGTAAAGAGTTGGTATTTAAAAATGTGCCATAACTCTTTAACATTCGCGGTGGTCACCCCTTGTTGCCAGTATATTCTAAAATATTATTCTTATACCCAACGAAAAATAAAATTCTACAAACTTATATTTGAGAAACCATCCAATGAAAAAGTAGGAGTAAATAGGAGGACAATTATTAACGGAAAGTGCAAATGATGTGAGAAATCAAAAGGTAGAGCAAGTTTTATATGTAAAGCAGATAATTATTTATTTATACCAATTTAAAATTTCAATTTGACACTTTTACCTCCATTTGAATTTCTATATGCTAACATATGTGGTCAAATGCTTAACGTTGTCGATTTTGAGTAGAAGAAGATTAATTGTGAACCCTACAATACGTAACCTTGGATTGTGAATTGGGATTTATTTCCCCTTTATCATAGAAGCTGGAGACTAAGCTCCCATTTGGTCCCCATTTTTTGGAGATGAAAATAGGTGGAATAGTATTTTTTGAAAAATGAAAAAAAAATATTCGATTTACGTGTAATATTATTTTATAAAAGATTGTGTAGTTGAAAATAGGTGAAAGAAGAATAAAATATAATGGAATGTAGTTTAATGAGTACGAAACGGGCCTAGAGATAGAAGTGCATTTCAATCAAGACGTGACATTGCACAAGTACTGTTGGTACCCCGTTTGGCCGCTATTAATTTTCATTACATTTTTCTCTCTCCTATTTTTAACCATATAATCTTCCATAAAATAATTTTACACATAAATCGAAAACTTTTCTTTTCTTTTTAACCACTCATTTTTCAAAAAAAAATATATTCCATCCATTTGCATTTCTACAAAATGGGGGCCAAATGGGTAGAGTATTGAATAATTATCATATGTGAATCTATGACTTTTTCTTTCTTTATTCGTCGTGCACATTGCTGTCATGCTAGTAAAAAGAGAGAAAAGTATAAAGAAATCAAGGATGGTGAAGCTGACGAAGGGGAGGTTAAAAGCATTGGATGCTAGTAAAAAGAGAGAAAAGTACAAAGAAATCAAGGATGGCGAAGCTGACGAAAGGGAGGTTTAAGCATTGGATGCATGGGTGGTGCTGAAAAACTTGAGCAAGTTGCTTTGTTTCATTCTTGGTTCCCTTTCTCATCTCCTCCCCGTTTAAATTTTTTGTTTTTTATCCTAATTTATCTATCGTTTGAAATAAAAGGAGAGAGTAAAAGAGCTTGGCTGTGGTTTGATTAGAAAAACGAAAGAAAGTGTTAATCCAATGAAGAAACTTTTTTATACGCTGCGTATATGTTTGGTACGTAATATTAACGTGTTGTATAGTATATAATGAACAAAATTTTAGCTTAATTTTCTCATTTAATCCTATTTAAAGTATCTAATCAACATTATTAAACATGCATGATTAATATTGTATATTAGAATGTATTATATGGTAAATAGACATTTTTAACACTTTGACCTTGTCCATTTTGTACAATTATAACTGCCATAAAAAATATTGGTGTCTAGTTTTCACGTACGATTTTCTAAATTTGTCATAAAATAATGGATAATAATGAATGACAGTCGACTTTTTTTATCTTTTCCTCTTAGTTTTATTACAAAATTAAGTGCTTTCAATGGATTTCATCTGTTCGATAATAAATTCAGGTATCCCCAATTAAGATTGTAATGGATTATCTTCAATTTCAGTAAATTTAATGTATTCCTTATTTGGATTTTAATGGACTGATAATCCATTAAATTTAGGTATTCCATATTTGGGATTTTAATGGATAGATAATCCATTAATATTTAAGCGTCTCCAATTACCGTGGATTTATAAAAATTTTCATTAATAAATGAATTTTAAGTGTTTTAGATGTATTTCAAACTTAGAAATACACAAGATGAACATTTTTAAATTTCATCATTTTTTATGAGATTTTTATTAAGGATTGATAAAATGATTAAAGGAAACAGGTATAAAAAAATAAAAAAATTAATGATTTTGATTCTTAGAATTGAGAATCATTTGGCTCTGGTTCTAGTTCGGTTTTAATTCTAGAATCAAGTACCAAACTCAATATATATATATATA